CTCTGTCACTGTAAATGAGATACATACTTTGTTGCCTGATTTGAGATATGAGTTGACCCTTTTTTTATTCAAAACATTTCATTTGTTCTACAGACAGGCACAATTAAACCCAACATTTAGCTTCATCATTATTAGGATTTTTATGCGCGATATCTGTTTGTAGACTTATATAATTGTATGTAATTATACATGTATATTGTATATTGAGGTAGGATCAAATGAGTTTACCTTTAAGTCTGTTTGTACCAACCCTTTCTTTGTCTCATTATTGTTTAAAGTGTATTTTGTTGTTATATTAGTCATGTTCAAAATAAATCAATCATTCAGTGACAAAAAAAAACAACAAAAAACTAGTCTCTATTGGAGTGATAGGCTATTTTGCCCCATTTAGTAAATCTGGCCTTAAATCTTACCCTTGTAACTGTCTGCCCAACAGATGCATCCTCGCTGACCAGCAAATTGTAGATGTCCTGACTGAAGGCTGGAGCGTTGTCATTGACATCCATAAGTTCAATAGTTACCATTGTAGCTGTGCTAAGAGGAGGGTTGCCATTGTCCCAGGCCTCAATAGTGAGATAATAGTCCTTACACACCTCAAAGTCCAAATCATCAGCCACTGAAATAGAACCTTAACACACATATCAGTAGATATTCATTTTTTTTTTTAAAATTCCCTGCCTTTAAATTTCACAATAACATGGCACAAGCCACACACAGAGATATCAACTCACCCCATTTCCTGTCTATGGTGAACTTTCCTAACTCATTACCCGACCGGATGTTGTATGTGATCTCAGCATTAGGTCCGATGTCAGCGCTTGTTGCCAGGACTCGCACCACCTCGGTTCCCACGGCTACATCCTCGGGGACAGTTACAGCATAGTCTCTTCTCTGGAAGACTGGAGCATTGTCATTCACATCCAGCACTAAAATGGTCAAATAAACCTGAGGAAGACACACAAGACTGTAAAACAGCACCTAACCACTTTACTGCACTGCTTCCAGCACCGATAGTGCCGTTTCACCACAAGGCAGAAGGGACCACAAGTACATACAGAAGTTGTACAAAAAAATATGCTTTAGTAATAAAATAGGAAGCTGAGGCAAAAACCAACTAAAATCTGTGCCTGCTATAGGGTGAGAGAGTTTGGTGGCTACTAGATGAATGCTATTTTGACTCTATAGAATACAGAGTCACAAGTTCCACCTACTTAATACAGGACACCACTAATCCTATTACTGTAGTTTTGCTTTTATCATTGTGGCTACGACAATCATCTACTACAAGTAACAGAACAACAACTACTCCTCTCTATATTTGTAATGAAAGTGACACCTACTCCTAAAAATAATGCCATTCCCAGCATTTATGCTCAGTGAATGAGCAAAATTAAAGTTTTCTTCTAAAATAAAACAAAGTTTACTTTTAAATAGCCGCTGTGAGACACAGCACAGTTTCAGATTTGCCACATATCTGTTTTCCACCTTTTCTGCACCGCTTCTCTCTGTAAAACTGCGTCGTTTTTTCTGTTCCACACGGTTCATATGACTCCGAGCTATCTTAATTAAAATCTAATTGGGGATTTACCTAATATCTTCAAGGATCATGTGTTATTCACATGATTTTTTTTTCAGAGTTCAGATTTACCTGAAAAACAAGATTATGTTACCCAAAAAACATAAATGCTGCAAACACTGTTATAAATGTCAGTTTTGTTCAAAAGTGCATTTTTATTATTTTTTATTTTATTTAGTCTTTCAATTATTCATTCATTTCAGAACAAGTGTCTTTTTTGTATCAGGAGCATCAGGGCGTAAATATTTCCTACAGTAATGTTTGGTAGACATTAACATTGATTGTAGACACAATCAATACTGAATCTGGGTCACCTGGACTACCCACCAACCTGTGAGGAGAGCGCCCCCTGTTGTCCAGCTCGATCAGTGGCCTCCACACGAACACGATAGGAGTCCTGGCTCTCTCTGTCCAAAGACTTCTCCAGAACTACTACTCCAGTTACCGGGTCGATGGAGAAGAACCCATTCACTGAGTCCACCAGAGAATACAGCACTGTACGGTTGAGACCTGGAAAAAACACATTCATACTAACTGTTCACAATATATTACATCTTGGCTCATAATCTTGCTCGGACACTCAAACAGTACATTATTTTTAAATAATTGAAAGCTTAAAACTTTCTGAATTCATCATCGCTGCCTGACATTACTTATCTAACAGCAGCTTACCTTCATCTGGGTCGCTGGCTTGTAGACGGGTGAGCAAAGCCTTAGGCGAAGCATTCTCGTACACGCTCGCCAGGTAATGAGTGGATGAGAAGAGGGGGGCATTGTCATTCACATCTAACACTTTGAGAAAAATATCAGAGCGACAGAACAGGCCTCCCCCGTCAGTTGCCTGGGCGATGAGTTTGTAGCTGGGGGCCAATTCCCGGTCCATCACAATGGCTGTACGCAACTCACCTAAGGGCATAAATGGGGAGGTATAAAAAGAGATTTTTTTTGTTTGTTTGTTTTTGTTACAAGCCCTTGAAATTAAATATTTAAATGTACCGGTGTTTGCATCCATGTAGAAATCTTCAACCCCAATGCCAAACAGTGAATACTGGATCTCAGCACTGGAGCCTGAGTCAGCATCTGTTGCACCCACTCTTAGAATGCCCTTGTTAATGGGAATGTCCTCAGGAAAAGAGGTGCTATACACGGCCTGTGATAACACAAAAGCATATGCAGAAATTAAAGTGCACAGTAATAGTAACACTAACCATTCTAGTTAAAAAAAAATGCATCTGTCTAATACATTAAAAAAAACATCCAACAACTGTGCACTTGATCCATTATTCCAGCTAATAGAACAGGGTCAGCTAAGTTCCCTTTTATCACCCGGTGTCCATTTCTGCCAGTGACTGACTGGGGAAATGGAGCTTAGTGGCCTCACAATTTCATCAAACACGGACCAGCAGCGGCAACGGCAATTTAGCACACCCCACCCTGCTCTGTTGGCTCTGCTGAATCTTCTAACGTTCAGATTTAAAATATATAACGGTGAAACACCTAGTAACCAGTCAAAGGTTTGAAAAATGCCAAGAATTAGTTTTATATCATCTTTGCATTTTTGTTTGTTGAACAAAATAAAAATTCAAAGCATTAAATTGGGGATTTTCTAATATTTATAGCCTGATTAATCACTTAACAAAAAAAACAAGAAAGGAGCAAGCACCAGCTAAGAGTTTGAAATCGTTACTACTAGAAAAACGCCATTACTATTACTACTACTACTACTCTTCTTATGAAAAAAAAAACATTAGAAAAGATGCCCAAACAGCAGTTAGAGTTCATTCTGAGGCAATGTGAGTGTCATTTTGATCCAGTTGTTGCTGTCGCCATGTAACGTCAGACTAATCACTTTGTAGTTATAGTGTTGGCTCGTGCGAGAAGGGGAAAAAAAGACTATCAGAGGAGAACAGGGAGCATTTCAAGGAGTTTAGAGTTTTGAGGGAAAAAGAAAGTTTCTCAACTAATTATGTGAAACTGAAGAACTGCAGAATTTTACTAAATGAAAGGAGAGCCCCCAGAAGACTTCACAGTCCAATTATTCTCTCATTTCATAAAGATTTTCCTCTCCTAGATTGTCTAAATGTAGGGTGAATGTTGGAGTTGAAAGGTAGGAAATAGCACAAGGGACTCAACTTAATTGGCTTTATCATGATTACTGTCTTTTATTTGTGTAAATTCTCAAACTTGTGTAATTCAAAGAGAACCATTCATCCGTTTAGTACGTTATTAGATTAAGACTGCATTATGCACTCCATAAAAGCACTATGGAAAAGTCAGTTTATACATAAATTACAACACTTGGCCTGAAATATAAAACAAAGACAATTTGGCTGAATTAATTTGCAGCGAGTTAGTACTTCGATGCACTTTAGAACAAAGTATCAATATTTGAAGTGAGCAAATCCAGTTTTACTCGTGAAACCACAGACTTTTCTTTACTAAGTCATGAATATGCAGATTTGAACATTATTCAACACAGGAGAATTTTCAGAGCTAAGCCAGCATTAAGTTTACCCAAAAGAAAGTTCATCATTGGGGTTACTGGGAATCTCCACTAATCTTGACGATCTCATTGGGATTGAAAAAGAAAACAATTTAAATGAGACTTAAAATGATTAAAAATTCCTTCTTTGATAAACAGCTTTTGTTTTCCCCATTCAGTCCACAAACACAATGCCCTAACTTACCTTTTCAATAACAAGCATACATGACTGCATGCATAGTCACAAGCAATGCATTCTCTCTGTTTACAGACAGAAAATTAACTGGAATATGGAGACAAACAGCCGATAGAGCGATTTACTCTGCAATGCTCTATACATTCCACAAGCTCCTCTCGGTTTGTTTACTTTGCATATTTTCATTTTGCACACTTTCCATTTGTCTTTATCCCTGACCTGGTTGCAGATGGGTCTGTTGTCATTTGCATCCATGACTGTAACCTCCACTGCGGTGTGAGCGACATAAAGGCCATCGCTGGCAGTGATGTTGAGCAGGTACCAGTCCTGCTGCTCGCGATCCAGCAGACCACTCACATAAACCTTCCACTCCCCCTGCACAAGGGCCAGGCCAAACACTCCTCGTGGATTTCCCCCTGGAGATCATACAGATGAGAATTAAAGCGCTGACACTAAAAAGTGAAGGAAGGAGTGAAGATGTATTGTATTAAATGTAAACAAACTGCGAGTCATTACTCATTCGCAAGATGAATGAGAACAAGATTCTCTCCAACCGCACATAAAAAATGATGCAGGCACCCTTTGGTGCAATCAATAACCATCTTCATAATGTAAACCAGACGGGTAGGGCAGCGGCCATGGCCCTTCAAAGTTTAAAAGTTTGACCTTTTATGACACTTTCACTCGGCCGATCTGTGTTTTTTAAATGCCAGAAAACAAGGACAAAATACATCATCCGCAATCATTAACACACAGTGTGTTGTGAATGGACGTGCTCTTACTCAGTATCAAGGTCAGAGTTTTGCTGGAGAGGCCAAGCAATGCTCTTTATTATTTTCATTTTGTTTTAAAAGCGCGAACGCATAAAGTAATGGGTAAGGCTGTGAAAGAGAATGATCAATTCATCAAGTGCATTTCATTAGAAGCACCTGCCTGATAATTCTATCCATCAGCCACGAGCCCGTCCCAGCTGTCATAGTGCAAAAACTTATTTTTTCTCCACATGAGTGTAGATTAAGGTTTTCTACAAAACATTTTTGTTTCATAGTATAATGGGCACTTTGTAATATTAAAATGAAAAAAATAAATAAAAATTAAAGGAAAGCTGTTTTTGGCATATCAGTTCAAATTAATTTATAACTTGACCTTTGGAACAGAAACCGTGTTAGACCAATAAATGATTTTGATGCAGCACAGCCTCATCTCATTGCAAGACGAAGAGTTACTGCAGCACAGCATTCTGGGACAGCATTATGTTAGTTGTCTCAGTGTCCTCACCAGTGATGCAAAAGCTGACGAGGTGGTTTTGATCCGTGCCATCTCGATCTTTGGTTTTCAGAACGGCCACCACTTCACCGAGGGGATCGCTCTCCTTTACGGCACCTCGGTACAGCTCCCTCTCAAACAGTGGCGGGTTGTCATTGACGTCTGACACAGTGATGGTCACCACTGTGGTGGAGGAGAGAGGCAGTAACTCGGCCAGATCAGATGCTACTACTTCAAAGCTGTAGCTGGAGCAGGCCTCGTGGTCCATCTGACTCACTGTGGTGATCCAACCTGTTTTACTGTCAATGGCAAAGACAGAAGTGGTAGACACAGGCCCGGAGAAGGAGCTGGCATCCCTTGTCAAGTCTAGATTGTAGGTGAGCAGAGGACCAAGGCTGTAGGTTACCTGCAATTCAAATAAAGGATACATAGCAGTGCCTGTAGCTCTCTGAATTTAGAAAAATGCTTGTTTTAAAGAATCACAAACATATGATTCACAGTTTAACCTGACTGTCACACACCTGCCCATTAGAGCCCCAGTCTGGATCAAGAGCACGCACTTGGACCACTCTGGTCCCCACAGGCATCCCCTCCATCACCGTGGCTACATAGGTGCTGGTCTCAAACAGCGGCTTGTTGTCATTGACATCCAGAATCTATAAAACAATAAATCTGCTTCAGCTGAACAAAGTCTAAATGAAAATACAGCACAATTACCCCCTTCTTACTATTTTAATTCATTTATCACATAAATCTGCAATTATTTCATAAAATCCATAATTGCATATGCACATTTCAACTAAAAAACAGAAAGCAAATGCTATCCTTCTGCAGTGCATGGTGGTACCAACCTTAACCTCCAGATCTACAGTGGAGACTGACTCAATCAGGTCTCGTCTTGTTGTTGCTGCAACTTTAAAGCGGAAGATGCTGACCTCTTCATAATCTAGCGGTTTCACCAGACGGATGAGACCAGTCTCCTTCTCCACCAGGAAGGTCCCCTCCTGGTTGCTGTCAAGCGTCTCCCCTGCGATTGCACTAAAGAACCCGGTCTGTCCAGCACCCATGTACACAGACCCCAGGGCGGTTCCTACCGCTGTGTCCTCAGGGATGGTGAAGGAGTACTGAGGCTGGCTGAACGAGGGAACGAATGCATCTGGAGGGACTACGTGGATGAAGGCAGACACCAGGGAGTGCTTAGCCGGAGAACCACCATCTGTGGCTTTGACAAAGAAGGACAGCACAGTGCCCTGGAGGTGGTCCACTGTGCTTTTAGTCATCATCCAGCCACTGTCTGGCTCCACCTGAGCACCAGCAAAATCACAAGGCTATTTAAATCAGCTTTTGGGAGTTTTTTTTTAAACTGTTGACATTTGTAGTTATGTGTTTAATTCCAAACCACGAGAGTTTTTGCTATTTTTATATCATTTTGATTAACATTAATAAAATACAAGGAGAACGTCACGGTTTTATGCGCACAAACTGAACCGCAATGCCCTTCAAGCTTCACCGCAACATACAGTGTTTATAAGTTGCAGCTATATTCCTTTAATCACATGGTGTTTTGATTTATTTATAGCCCACATTTATTTACATTTAATTGTATTTTCAAAATTGACCAAAGCATCAACCCTAATGCAACATCATTTTGATTAGATGATTAAAAATACATAATCTACAGCAAACAGATGGCTTTTAATCCCCTGAAATGGGAAGGGAGGGTCATGTGAAAACATTCCTTAATTGAAAATCAAGTTTACCGCTAACAGAGTTTGTGCTTTAATGAGTTTTAAATCAATTTGTTGCAGTTTGCATGTGGTTGCATTTTTATGTGATTTTATGTGTTGCATAGATATTAATTCACGGGATAACGTTTCTTTTTACAAAGGGCAGTCAAAAAGAAGTTGAAAAGCAACATGCACTGACCTCCAGAACATCGACCAGAGATAGGCGTGCCTCACTGTAAAGTGAGTATGTGATCCTTCCATTAGACCCAGCATCTGGGTCAGTGGCCTGGATCTGAGTGACAAGAGAACCTTTGGCAACATTTGCTTTAATGCTCATACGATACTCCACTGCTCTGAACCGGGGGGCGTTGTCATTCTCATCTGCAAGAACCACCCGTACCGTGCAAAATGATGCACGGCCTGGAAAATAAAAACACACATACATTTAATATGCACGAATGATACAGATTAGCGCTGGGTATTGTCACTGATTTCTATAGCTGATTTAATTCTGATTCACAAGGTCCCAATTCAATTTGATTTGATTTGATTCAATTTTGACTCAGACAGTCAGAAATATTAAAATATTCTGCAGTAGTTTAAAAACCGAACATTACAGTTACAGAGGTTTTATTAGAGACATTTAAGTGTTTTCCAATTTGGCAAAATCTTTTTAAATTTCTTCAATATTGAACAACAGAAATGAGGCTTTCTCATTTGAAAAAAAAAACACAACAACAACAACAAAAAAACAGCGGGGGACAGCGCTGAACACAATGGTAGACTGGTGTGCAATAAGCAAGCAAATAATGCAGAAAACAGAGATTTAAGATGGGAAACTGTTCTGGAAGTACACTGAGAGAGTGAAAGAGCTCTGCAGGAAGTGTGATTTCATCAAAACTGCCAAAGCAAGAAGGAATTCATGACGATGTTTATCAAATGTGAAGCGTAGTTTTGATCTTCTTTTACTGCTGGTTCAATGTATTTTGCTCGGAGAGTGAGGAAACCCGCAGCTTTGGAACCTGTGAGATGTCGGCTTTCAGTAGTTTCTGTTTCCATCTTTTTGCGGTATCCGTTTACTTGCTCTCATTTGTTGTTTGAACTGTTTGGCGGTTGTGGGAATAGTTTATATATATTTAAAAATCGATTTAGGATTAATGAATCGATGCACAACAGGAAAAAAGTCTATGCACCTTCAACGCAACATGCTAACGCATGGTTAGTATGGACGTTCCCGAAAGTGAATGATGGCATTTAGTTTACCAAAGTAAACTGCAGGAGCAGCCCTGCAAAGAAAAAGCTAATGAAGGAAATTGTATGAGCAATAGAAGCATCAATGCAGTTACCAGGAAAGTTGTGAAGACAAGTGAAAAAGAGGAAAGGGTTGATTTCCTGTTATTTATAATTCCTGTAATGATAAAAATGCTGGGAAATGATGATCTATGTAACCAACTTTTGTTATATAAATCTATTGCACCTGCTTTTTTTAAGTGAAGGCCAAGTAAAGGTGGGTGTACAGCAGCTCAATTTCAGTCAATTTTTTATAACTCTTTCCAGTAGCAGAGCTCTTTATTTTCAGTTATTTCATCGAGAGCAGTTTGGGGTGAAACTGTAAAGTTAAATAACTTAAATAAACTTTTTAAACTTAAAAATATTTTGTGTTGAAGAAAAGTTGATTTTTATTTTTATATGTTCTCAGTTATTGTTATTAGAAAGAAAATTTGGTCATAAAACAGGAAAATGAAATTTGCCAAGAAAATTGCATCAAATCTCGACTTATATTTTTTTAGGGAAACAGTTACCTCCACCATCCAGGGCCATCACAGTTAGCACCATGTCCTTGTTGAAAGGGTTTTCTCGATCTAATTTCTGAACAGTGGAAATGACCCCATCTGCATCAATGGTGAACTGAGTTTTCCCCAGGTCGTTGATGAACGAGTAGGTGATCTGTCCGTACAGTCCAGAGTCCTCATCTGTTGCGCGGACCTGTGTGTCCACACAGAAATTCATCAATATTCCTCATTATGTTATTTCGTATTCATTAATTCAGTGCACTGAAAAAGTGAAATTACCTGAATGACCTTTGACCCTGCCGGTGCATTTTCCTGGACCTCAGCCAAGTAGAACCTCTGGCTAAATACTGGGCTGTACAGGTTAGCTCCCAGGACACGTACAATCACCTGTGAATCACCATCGCAACATCACTCCATCATCATTATCCTCACTGTCTGCTGACATGTTGCTGTTGCCATCCCAACAAACATCACCGGCTGATTTGTCAAACACGATCAAATCAAAAAGGCAAAGCAGTAGTAAGAACACCAGGGTTGTGAACAATTAGTTATTGATTTGAATTACACACGAGCCACAGATACTGACACCTCCGTGAAGAACTGCTGCACACATATTTCATTGCATGTCAGAAGAAGAACTTTAAGAATGGGGTGATGTGTTATTGCAACAGAAATGTGTGATATATGACCCAAACCCCCCTCAAATCTCCCATTTGTAATTACCACTAAGAGACAGATGTGAGTATTTTTTCCAGCTGGCAGCTTATCCTCAAAGTAAATCTGATATGGCGAGACATTAACCTCCCACTGTGGAGCTGGCAGTTGTGAGAAACAGCAGTTACGCTGAGCAGCAGCGAAGGTTGGTAATAATTTTGATAGGCCGGTGAAGAAGGTCAGCCCATTTTCTGTGTATAAGGACTACTGAGACTTAAAAAAAAGACCAAATCACCTGACAGAACTAATACGTAACTGCCAAAAGTTGTCTCACCTGAGCAGTGCTGGTGAAGACTCCATCCGACACGGACACATTGAGTTGATAGGAGAGTTTCATGCCTTGTCTCCTCTTGTTAGACAGACGAAGCACCCCCGTATCTGGCTCCATCATAAAAGTCATTTTCTCATTTCCTGAGAGAATACTGTACCTGAAGGCGGAGGAAGAAGAGAGAGCTTGTGTTGCTTACGGTCTACAAAGTTATTTTGCTCAAGAGGTGCTGCAAATTACAAGTGTCTACTTGTCTTGAGGGGGTGCTGAGCCAAAACTGCTTGAGAAAAATCTAAATAAAGCCTCGTGTGAAACTGAACCAGGATTACTGGGATTTTAGTAAACCAAAAGAGCACTGTGCTTTTCAAGAGGTGACAATCTGAAAAATTCTTATAGAGGATTTTCATCTAGGTTCAAAGGTAAATCAAGTCTACAGAGAAAACACAGAATCGGTAAGTTCTCAAAGCATCTTTTTCCTTACCTCAGCCTACTGGCATCACAGATGTCAGCATCTGATGCCTGAACACAAGTCACAAAGTGTCCTCTGGGAGCCAGCTCGCTGACAAAGGCCTCGTACAGCATTTGGCTGAAATTAGGTGGGTTGTCATTGGTGTCAGTTACAGTCACAGAGACAGTAACATCGCTGCTAAGGGCAGGGTCTCCGCTGTCCGTCGCCCTGACAATGAAGTTGTGGCGCTGGATGAGCTCATAGTCGAGCAGACGTGCCGTGTATATCAGCCCGCTGTTACTGTCGATGCTGAAGTAGTCGGTGCTGTTGTAGATGTCAGATAGGATCTGATAACTCACCACGCCGTTCTTTTCTGTGTCCTGGTCTTGGGCAAACACCTACACGGAGAGTTACATTCAATTGTGTCCTGCCTCATGCATTATTCAAGATAAGGGCTGATTTGCTTACCCCACACATACTCTGTGGGTACAACACCACCACTGCAGCCAATTGAAAAAGTAAATAACATTCCAGATTTTACTGAGAATAGGATAGAAAGACATGTAAAACCTTGTCAAAGCATTTGTTTAACATTCAGCGTGAACATTTTGCTGAGATACAACTCTATTTACAAAAATAAAATAATAAAATATAAAAAGCGCTCCAAGTGTTGTTACTTCTGTCAGAGTCTGTGCAGCTCTTTTAAACAAATATAAAAGGTTTTGGTCCCCTGTTTTTTTAATATCTGTGACTTGAGCAATGTAATGCCACAATTGGGTCAAAGTTGGATGTGAGTTTGTGCAGTTAACTTTTAAAACATATGCATGATTTTCAAATATATGAAGGCCAGCTGTACCTATAATAAATAGGTATTGAGAAACTGATATTTTGATATTGAGAAACTACAAAAAAACACAGCACATAACCACTAGAGGTCACTGAAATAAGGAAAAATATATTTTGGCATTTTGGTTTCTTAGACTTAAACAAATAATTATTTTGTCTTGTAAAACAATGAGAGGCCGCACTGTTTCACCAGACTACGCCAGTCAGATCACCTACTTGTTCATCAACGACCCGGGGAAAACTCAGTTCACCAGGCTTATGTTAACACAGGTCACTTGTGTTAATTTAACTGATGTGGTTGCCGTACTTGATTTTGTTTACAGATTTGTACATTTATAGACCAAACATTTCTCCCCAATTTTCACTAAAGCTGAAAAAGCTGACCTTCGTACCAAGGACGACCACCAAGATTTTTAGGTTATCAAAGTTATCTTTATATTTTGCCCATTATAGCCATTCAGAGCTAATAAACAAAAACTTAGGTCATCTCTTAGCGACTGTTTCATGTACTAATACCAAACCATTTGGCATCCCTTCTTGGATGTCCAGAAATTTGTTATTTGACTGCTGAGGCAGAGATGTGCTTTTGATCAGGTTAAATACGACCCACATGGTAAACAACACTGCAGTACCACAGAGCAAGAGCAAAGCATATTTTAAGGCTCAGTGAGTATGCTCAGTGATTATAAGCCCCTGTTCTTAAATCTGCTTCTTTTACACTTTAATGCTAGTAAAAAGGGACACAGACCTACAGTATTTTGCTGACTGACTTAAAAAGA